GTAGTGAAGCACCCAGCTATTAATGTCTTACAATGTTTCATGGATGTCGTTAAACTTCAGCAGTCAGAAGGAACTTATGTGAACTCCCCTGCCTTTTAGCCAGATTGCCCCTGCATGTAGATAGTGATGTTTGAGCAGGCGCAGACTCCTTTTCCTAAATGCAGAGACTGTCCCATCTGGTTAGTAATGTAGGACTCAAAGTGCTCTCAACGCTGTCTCAGTCACCACAGTCGCGGGACCTGTTGTATCATAAACCTGTCTCAGCCAGGTTGAAAAGGAGTCAGGAGGATGTGTAAGACATTTTGCTGCTGGAGAAACTGGAATGTCTATGGCCTTTGCAATGCACAGTTGTCCAGATGGATTTCAGAAAAGATTGTTTTTTTTTTTTTTCCGAGATGGAGTCTCACTCTTTTGCCCAGGCTGGAGTGCAAGTGGTGTGATCTCAGAGCTCAGCTCACTGCAGCCTCCGCCTCCCAGGTTCAAGTGATTCTCCTGCCTCAGCCTCCCAAGTAGCCGGAACGACAGGCATGCACCACCACACCTGGCTAATTTTTGTATTTTTAGTAGGGACAGGTTTCACCATGTTGGCCAGGCTGGTCTCGAACTCTTGACCTCAGGTAATCCACCTACCTCAGCCTCCGAAACGCTGGGATTACCAGTGCAAGCCACGTAGCCCAGCCAAAAGATTGCTTTTCTGACTGTCGAATCCTGCCAGATTTCCTTCCTTCCTTCCTTCTTTCCTTTCTTTTCTTTTCTCTTCTCTTTTTCTTTCTTTCCTTCTTTCACATGAATCACCTTTTTTGACCATGCTGAGCCGTGCTATTTTTTTTTCCTTTTTCTTTTTTTTTCCAGCTTTATTGAGTTATGATTGACAAAAATTGCATATATTTAAGGTGCAGAACATGGTGCTTTGATTCATGTATAGGTTGTGAAGTGAGAAACCCAGTCAGGGCAGTTAACATAGTCATCTCCTAACATAGTTACCAGTTTTTCGAGTGTGTGCTGAGAATATTCGAGATGTACTCTCTTCACAAATTCCAAGTGTACACCATGGCGTTAGTAACTGAAGTCACCATGCTGTGCACCTGGTCTCTAGTACTTATTCATCTAAGTCCTTCTAGTCCTTATTCACCCATCAAAGCTGGGTGCCTCATTTCTGTGCATCTTAGGGTTTGTACCCTTTGGCCACTATTTCTCTTTTTCTTTCACCCTAGCCCCTAGCCACCTTTCTACTCTCTGTTACTGTGATTTCAACTTTTTTCACTTACCATAATGTCCTTAAGTTTCATGCATGTGTTGTTGTAAACAGCAGGATCGGCTTATCTTTTAGTGCTGAATCATATTCCATTGTTTGTGTATGTACAGTTTCTTTATCTGCACATCCAGTGACGAACACCTCGATGATGAGGTAGCCTCCTATCTTGACTATTGTAAACAATGCTGCAGTGACCTTGGCTATTGTAAATATCTCTTCTGCAGATATCTCTTCCATACTGATTTCCTTGACTATTGTAAGTAACACTGCAATGCAGATATCTCTTCCATACTGATTTCCTTTCCTTTGAGTACATACCCAGTCATGGGATTGCTGGATCATATGGTAGTTCTATTTTTAATTTTTTTGAGAAACCTCCGTAACGTTTCCATAATGGCTGTAGTCCTTTCAGATTGTTTAAACATTTTCTCCTTAAAAGTTAAGAAACCTTTGAGCTGCTATGGCAGGAAGATCTCACCACAGGAGGCGCACGTGTGAGCCTCAGGTTTGTCTGGATTCCAGACAGACATCTGTGAACTGGAGGTTGTGGGACTTGGCAGCACCCAGCAGCAGGGGTAGTGACAGTTTAGGATGATTGCTCTTTTGTATCGTGTCCCGTTTTAGAAATCCAGGTCATCTGGGCACAGATTGGGATTTTTCCATTACCAGCAGTAGAATGGATCAGTATGATGGCCCAGACTCGTACACACCTGTGTTGGAAGGCTCTGGAAGCCTTGCGCTGACAGGTGAGCGAGCATCCAGCCCTGGGCCTACCTGCCGGTCAGTGGTGATGAGAGACGGAAACCCTCTCACTGCCAGCCCAGCGTCAGGATTTCAAGATCCTCAAGCCTTCAAGGGACAACGTTTGATCACAAAGATGCATATTCCAAAGCAAGCTTTCTTTTGAGCTGTAATTTACCAAAAAAATAAAAAAAGAAGAAGAAAGGAAGAAAGAAAGATAAGACATCCCCTTAATATCAGCCAAACACATCACTGCCAATTTGGAAACACTGCGTTTAAAGTGAAGTATATTCCACGGTGAACAGGAAGGAGCCGCCAAAGTTGTCAGCAGTTCATATTTTCCCATCTGTGTCTGGGGAATGACTATGCACATTCCTTGAAAACAGCCTTTTTAACAAAGAGTTTTTTACTCCGTAGTGCAAACAGGATTGTTAAAATATCTAAAAATTAACCTTTATACACTTGTAGATTTTGTTCCCTAGACAAATTTATGGTCTAAGAATTAAACAGAAAATAGAAGAGTTGAATATACCGCTAATTTTCTTTCATTTTCTTTCCCTGTTTTACAGATTCCTATGACCCTAGCAGAGTGGAGAGAGTGTGAGGAAATGCTGGCCTTGTGTTGCTAATTGAGTATTCTCAAGTAGCTGGTAGATTTCTTCTATCAGCCCCACTTCCCCGTGTAGAAGCTGGAAGCTGCCGGGTTTTAGCATCCTGGTAACATTCTTTACTACTGCCACTAGGAAACTTGCCACCCTCTCAGAATTGCTTTGTGGCGATAGAGCAATCGTCCGTTGAAACCATCTGTTTTTATAGCATGAAGATTTAATGCGTGTAATTAGGAAGGAGTTTTCACAGAAACTGTCCCTCATGGGAGATTTGACCAAGCTGGTAAATAGTTTGGTGTTGCCCTTGTTCTGGGTGAAGATTTGAATGTGGAAGGTCTAGTAAATGCTTTGGAAAGGCCCGTGATTGGTGTTGGCCCCTCTGTGTCTCTGTGGCCTGCGGTCCGTGCTCCTGTGAAGGAGTTGGGGACACAGCTCATTGCCTGGTGTTTCAGTTCAGGGGAAATGTGAATCAATAGGTATGATCCATTTCTAATCAATTTGGCCTTCTGCTGCTGGAAGTAACTTTACTTATAAGTAGCTTGCCATCAGAGAATAAAAGCAATATCTTTTAAGTTCCTAAAAAGTTAAAACTTGTACTGTAATATACTAAGAGCATTATTTATCTGGCAGTGAAATATTTTGATCATTTGCAAACATGCCATTGTCTGCTTTGCACTCAGTATTATCTATTTTTATTTTCTGTATGGGTATTTAGAAATTCTTTATATGAAAAACAATTGCTGGTTTAAAATAGACCATTTTAACAAAGTGACTATATTTCTTTTTACAAAAATGCTATTTTTCTATGATGTAAACAATTGTTAGGCAGCAGATTTTTAAGGAAGTATTATTTTATTTAAGAGTCTGTATCCCTTCGTGTGAGAGGAACCCAAAGAGGGTTCCCTTTTGCTTCAAAGCTCTGTCCCTTACCCATTCGCAATTCTGCTACTTTTATTTTATCTTAGAAAATGTCAAGATAGACATATCACAGGGTTAATAAATCAACTTTTCACAAAGATTTTTTTACAAATGTAGCTATCAGGTTATATTTGAAAATAACCCTCTCAAAACCAGCCAACATTGTTATGACAATTTTTGCTGCCATATCAACTAGAATTACCAAAAAAACATAGTTTTATCTTTGTATGTGTGTGGGGATCCCTGAGACCATACGTTTCTCCCCACCCTGCCACCCCACCCCTTTAAAGAAATGTGTATTTTTATCTAGAATGATCCTGAATTAGTTTCTGCATATTTTTAAAAAGTGCTTGGGGACATTATATATATGCCATTTCAAAAGTATTATGAGGCCTATGTATCCTACTGTGTTTAATATTGCATTAACCTGCACAAAGTTCATGCATTTTTTAATGCATTTTTTCTTTCTAAGTAAGATATTCTTGATAACTAACGTTCCCTAAATCATTTCTTGTGTCTCTCACTCCCTCCTGCCTTCCTTTCTTCCTTCCTTTCTCCCTCCCTCCCTCCCTCCCTGCCTGCCTTCCCTCCCTCCCTCCCTCCCTCCCTGCCTGCCTTCCATCCCTCCCTCCCTCCCTGCCTTCCCTCCCTCCCTGCCTTCCCTCCCTCCTTCACCCTGTCCTCCTTGTCCCTTTTATTTTTTTCCCCTTCTCTTTCATTTTATTTTCTTTTAGAGAAACCACCTTATCTATTTTTAGACATTTCAAATTCCTAAAATGTGAACCATTGGGTGATCTGTCCTTTGGCCCTAAAACGGCTGGCTGGACTCTCCTGGCCTGTTCTCATCTGCACCGTACCATTTTGTTTCATAAGAACTTCATGTATTTGGACTGTAACAAGCAAAACAGAATCTAAGTTGCCCCAAAAAATCTTTCCAAATCTTTTCAAAACACTCATCTGCAGTCCAGAATTCAGCTCTTATGAAAAGTTATACTGCGCTCCAGTTTTCACAGCAGCAATTGGGGGGTGGACAAAAAGTTCCTCTTCCTAGAAAAAAATCCAGTAGGGAAGCGTTCGGACACTGTTGTAGTTGGTGAATCATCCAAGTAACCTGGTAGTACCAAGGAAGGGCTGAGGCACCTGCAGGTCTTTGTGGGGTCTTACTTCCCTCTTTTTTATTTTTATTTTTTGAGAAAGAGTCTCACTCTGTCTCCCAGGCTGGAGTTGCAGTGGTGCAATCTCAGCTCATTGCAGCCTCTACCTCCTGGGTTCAGGCGATTCTCCTGCCTCAGCCTCCCCAGTAGCTGGCACTACAGGCGCGTGCCACCACGCCCGGCTAATTTTTCCTATTTTTAGTAGAGACGGGGTTTCACTGTGTTCGCCAGGATGATCTTGATCTCCTGACCTCGTGATCCTCCTGCCTCAGCCTCCTAAAGTGCTGGGATTACAGGTGTGAGCCACTGCGCCCGGCCCTTTACTTCCCTCTTTAAATGCAAATGTAAGAAGGTATATGTATGTATGTATGTATATACATGCACATATATATACACATACTTTGTTGATACCATCTAAATACTTCTTTGAATCAAAATAACTTAATTTTAGCTCATTTCTCAAGAGAAAGAGAAGGATCCCCAAGGAAAAAAATACTATTGTACCTTCTGTGATTCTCAAACCAAAATATGATGCCCTTCTGTTTTGTTATCTTAAATTGTTGTATTGTATCTTTCTGAAACCATTCTGAATTAAGTTGAAATTATCAGTATTTATACTTTAATTGTTTTAAATTTAAGCCTACATGTAAGTCTTCTTTTGGGGGAAGGTAACTTTATAAGCTTAACTTGGAAATTTGACTTTTAACCTTTCATATTCTAAGGTAAATAATAGCCTTTAATCAACAACAGCTTTCCCAGAGGGGTCTTGAATTTAACACTAATTATTCAGTTATTGTTTCTCTTTCTCAAACATACATAACTCCGTTATTATTTGTGGCTGGAAGAAAAAGTTTTTGTATTTTGTTTTTGTCTTTATCTCATGCACACAATTTACTGTTGGTGTTGAATAATTTGGAGCTCATAAAATTAAAAGTTGTAATTTTGACCATTTGGACTGAAAATTATATGAGGAATTACATACGCAATGTGTTAGTATTTCTTGAGTTTGCAAAAGAAGGGGAAAATGGTGGTAATTTGATTCAAATTGCCTTTCTTTGAAGAAAATTTCTGAATGACTGAAAACCAAATATCTGTATTATCACCTTCAACCTCATTTTTCTGCAGACTACAGAAAAACTCCTCACTGACCATGCGTCCAGCCCCTGATTGGGTCTTCAGGATTATGTCCATGTACATAACTGCTTGGATTTCTTCTTTAAAGTCCCTAAAACATGAATCTGTTGTTTGAGATCCTGGTTTCCTTAGAGTTGTAGGTTACGGTTTTCATTCACGTGAAAATTCTAAGTAGAACTTACGCTGCTCCATTTTATTGTTGGTGAAGGGCCATTGTTAATGGAAGTTTAGGTTTTTAAACTCGAATGACTCTACAACCAGACCCTGATCATTTTTTGCAGCAGCAAAATGACTTACTCTGACAGCATCTCGGTTTAGGACTTCTGAAGGAAAAGGATGAAGCTGATCTGTTGAAACAACTACTTTTCCAACTCAGAGGCAGAAGGGGCTGATGGAAGATAACATTCACCTACCATTTCATCTTGTGACCCCCCCCCAAAGATCATGTTTCAGTGTTCTGGCTCGGGTTTTTGTTATTGTTTGTTTGTTTTAAATGATTAAATAATAGACAATTAAGTGTCAGGATAGCATCTCTTGCAAAGTGACCAGTGCAGCAGAATTGTCTATCCATCTTTGAGCTTAGGGAAAGATTTCCCACATCCTAAGTTGGCGTTTGGGAGCATTGTTCTACCAGACCCATTTGTGCAGGGGAGATGAAGCTGAAGAGATGGGATGTGGGGCGGGAGTGTGTTTCTTAAGCCAAAGCTGTTGCAGGCCTGGGGGATTTGTGCATTTTCCTTTTGTTTTGTTTTCGATTGCAGATTCTGTACATCTGTCTGTGGGAGGAGAGTTGCTACTCAGGCCAGGATTTAAGAGACATTCCAGTGACCTTTAAGAGGTGCCTGGCGGGAGGTCCTTCTCCGGGAGTGTGGGTTGGTCCACTCTGGGACCCACCACACTAAGGGGGAGATGATAAAATAACATTAAAGGAAGAATGGGCTCCAGCCTGCAGGTTTTGTTGGAAAGAAATAAAAAGGGAGTGATGAAGACCATAAATTCAGATTGAGTCCTCCTGAAAAGGTTGACGTAGGCTAGCAACCTGCCCATCGAAACAGTCCTTGCTTCATCAGCAGTGTGGGGAGGTGGTCCAGGCCCCTACAGATTCCTGGCTTTGCCCTCGGAAAGCCTCTGTGATACTGGTGTGTACGAACACAGCAGAGGACAGGGAGGTCCTTGTTCTGTGGTCTCTGCTTAGTGACTGAAACTTAAACCCAAAGGCAAGCCCAGAGTGTCTGGCCGTTCATCCCCATGCCTTGATGGGGGTGAGGAGGAACGTTTTCCATATGAAAGGCCGGCCCTGCTGGGGCTTACAACCAACCACACTCCTTCACCCCTGCCCTGCAGCAGAGCTGAGATGTGAGACATTCATGGTCACGGAGCAAGAAGACAAAGACAAGTTCAAGCTGAAAAGCATATGGCAGCAAACAAATGAAAACCATATGTCCCGGCCAGGGGGAAAAGCAGTCACTTCCAGATTATAAAAATCAGTGAAGTACTCTCCACCTGGGTCAGCTGAAATTCGAGCCCTCACAGTCAGGCCTGTTAGAGATGCTCAGCAGAAACATCTCAGGGGGTCAGGGGAACTTCTAAAATTTGGTGAAGACAAGGCCTTGCAACCCCAAAGAAACTTTTTTTCCCTTAAAACAGGGTCTTGCTCTGTTGCCTGAGCTGGAGTGCAGTGGCATGATCATGGCTCACTGCGGCCTCAAGCTCCTGGGCCCAAGGGCTCTCCCCACCTCAACCTCCCTAGTAGCTGGGACCACAGGTGCGTGCCACCATGCCCAGCTAACTACAGAAACTTTCATTTGTTCATTCTTTCTTTGGGCACCATTAATACCTAAGGCAGGTAGAAAGGGTCCTAGAAAGACAATCGACGATGGCCGACTGCTGGCTGCAGTCATTGCCCCCAGATCAGGCTGGTACAGGATGCCTTAAGGTGATGAGGTGAGGGTGCATGAAGAATAATGAGCACAGGGAAGAGAGAAGCAGGACAAAGTAGCAGATAAATACCAGCAAAGCACCGATGAATGTCTTCAAGGAGCTCTTGTGTTTCTCTGCACAATGTAAATACCCTTGCTATTTCAGGATGGCGGCTGGCCTGCTCGGTAACACACATGTTCCAAATAAAGATTTTGCATGAAAGTACCTGTATCTGTTGTCGTTGACTGTGGGTGCAAGAGCTGCCCTGGACACTGGTTCCTGAAGGGCAGTGGGCTGCAGGGAAGCAGCTTGGATGGTGTGGGTAATGCAGGGACAGGTAGTCCACAGGGTTCCAGCACCATTGGTCTCCACCGGGATTTCTCGGGAGTTCAAGCTTCTGTTTACGTCTCCCCCAAGACTTACTCACATTGTGGAAAAAGGCCTAGAGTTAATTCAGGGACTAGGTGCAAATATTGACTCTATCACTAACCACGTGGCCATGCATACATCACATCCCTGGTTTCTGTGTCTTCCCCAGCCTCTCCTACCAAAAGAACCTAAAAATCCAATATATAGGCTGGGTGCAGTGGCTCACGCCTGCAATCCCAGCACTTTGGAAGGCCAAGCCAGGTGGATCATGAGGTCAGGAGATTGAGACCATCCTGGCCAACATGGTGAAACCCTGTCTCAACTAAAATGCAAAAATTAGTCATGCGTAGTGGAGCGCATCTGTAGTCCCAGCTACTCGGGAGGCTGAGGCAGAAGAATTTGAACCCAGGAGGCAGAAGTTGCAGTGAAACGAGATCATGCCAATCTATTCCAGCCTGGGCAACAGAACAAGACTCCATCTCAAAAAAAAAAAAAAATAAAAATACAAAAAATAGCCAGGCATGGGGTCGCATGCCTGTAATCACAGCAATTTGGGAGGCCAAGGTGGGCAAATCATAAGGTCAGGAGATCAAGACCAGCCTGGCCAACCTGGTGAAACCCCGTCTCTACTAAAAATGTAAAAAACTGGCTGGGCATAGTGGCAGGCTGTAGTCCCAGCCATTCGGGAGGCTGAGGTAGGAGAATCGCTTGAACCTGGGAGGCAGGTTGCAGTGAGCCAAGATCACACCACTGCACTCCAGCCCAGGTGACAGAGTGAGACTCTGTCTCAAAAATAATAACACAACATATAGAGAACCTCCAGCACATTATGGGTGTTGACTGCGCGGAAAAGGAAGCAAGAGCAGGAGCTTCTGGGGAAAATACTTGGCCTGCCCATGTGTAGGTTTAACCTTCCAGGCCTCGGTCCTCTTGTAGGGTGGTTCCGGAAGCAGACAGAGACTCAGTGCAACATACTCTCCAATTGTGACTGTCATTAGACCAATAAACCTCTAAGCTGTTGTTTCTGAGTTTTTAAAAATATGATCCTTCTTTCCAGTGCAGACTTCCTCTGTCTCCCGTAAGCTTTTGTAAGCCGTTTCCCTCATTTCTTCCTTGGCTGCATGTGTGCAGAGCCCCAAAGCTTGACTACCACAGGACCCTCTAGCTAGTCTGAAATTTCAGACCACACTAAGATGTGGGTTTTAAAGTCAGGATTATCCCCTAGTTGGTTGATAATTGAATCCACATATTAAAATATGACTAAAAAATCCCACATTAATGCTAGAAGATGAAACACACAACCCAGGAGTTGGGGGACTCATCCTGGGCCTGGCTCTGCCATTAACTAGCTGTGACATGGACCCCCTTTCCCTAAAACACTTTACCCTGTAAGTGGAGAAGGGACTCGAGCTAAGTTGGCTGGTTCCTTCCAACTCCAAGCTTATATAAGTCTTTTCTGGCAAACCTGAAAGTCCATAGGGTCTTTTGTCCTGCCAGGAGGGTTCAAGAGTAAAACAACTGGAAAACGCCGTCTGTACGTGGCTGCGGACTGGGTCACGGCCAGGGTGGGAGTCCTGCCATTATTTCTCCCACCAGGGTGGTCCACTTCCCCCATTCCAGTAACTTATCATGTGTCTCCCCATCGCCGTCACTATGGCCCAGCCAAGGGACTGACAATATTGAATTCTCCCAACATATTTTTCTTACTTTAGGGCAGGGCACTGGGGTGTTTATAAACTGGGCAGTCAGCCCAAGGCATTAATCTGCAGTCACCCACATGGACTGCTTTTCTCAGTTTGGCTGCTGGGGTCCTTTTAAACGCGCTTGTTTTGGAGACGTTTGTGTCTCACCAGCTAAACTGCCTTTCTGCTTCGACCCCCCACACCAGTGTTTCCCCAAGTGGTCAGCTTGCAATTGACTGGCTGGAAAAACTGCCAGTCCTGCATTGCTTACGGTTTTGGGGACCGAAACTCCATGGGAAACTGAGCGCTAGCCCCTTTGGGCTCCAGGGGACCTCTGGTTTGGTTTCTGCTGGAAAGCCCAGCTTCTCTTGGAGTTAGAGGAGATTTATTCAGGAGACCCTGTTCACTGTTTCTTTTCTTGACTTCCTCACTCTGTCCTGTGCTTCCTGCTACGTTAGCCATGGTTGTTTGTTTTAATGTTTTTTAATTTTAGAAGCAAGATTTTGCCCTGTTGCCCAGGCTGGTCTTGAACTCCTGGGCTCAGGGGATCCACCTGCCTCAGCCTCTGGAAGTGTTGAGATTACAAGCCTGAGCCACCACACTGGCCAACCATGGGTATTTTTACCTAACCTAACTCCACGAGTATATTTCTTTTCTTTTTCCTTCTTTTTTTGAGACGAAGTTTTGCTCTGTCATCCAGGCTGGAGTGCCATGGCACAATCTCGGCTCACTGCAGTCTCCACCTCCCAGGTTCAAGTGATTCTCCTGCCTCAGCTGCAGAATCCTCCCAAGTAGCTGGGATTATAGACGTGCACCACCACGCCCGCCTAATTTTGTATTTTTAGAAGAAACGGTATCACCATGTTGGTCGGGTTGGTCTCCAACTTCTGACCTCAAGTGATCCACCAGCCTCAGCCTCCCAAAGTAGGAATTGGAGGCCTAAGCCACTGTGCCTGGCCCCGCTGGTATATTTCTAAGCTTATGATAGCAGGGTCAGCTGTTGCAGAAATATACCAAATCTGCATTTACAGGTTGGGTATCCCTAATCCAATATACTCCAGACTCTAAAACTTTTTGAATGCCGTCATGCCACAAGTGGAAAATCTCACACCTGACCACATGTGATGCGTACACAAAATTATTTAAGATGTTATATAAAATTCCCTTTAGGCTATGTGCCTAAGGTGTATATGAAACATAAATGAATTTTGTGTTTTTGCCAGGCGCAGTGGCTCATGCCTGCAATCCTAGCACTTTAAAAGTCCAAGGTGGGTGGTTCACTTGAGATCAGGAGTTCAAGACCAGCCTGGCCAACATGGTGAAACCCCATCTCTATTACATATACAAAAGTTAGCTGGGTGTGGTGGCAGGTGCCTGTAATCCTAGCTACTCAGGAGCCTGAGGCAGGAGAATCGCTTGAACCCAGGAGGCGGAGATTGCAGTGAGCCAAGATTATGCCACCACACTCCAGCCTGGGTGACAGAGTGAGACTCTGTCTCAAAAAAAAATTGTGTTTAGACTTGGGTTCCATCCCCAAGATATCTCATTATGTAAATGTAGATATCCCAAAGTCCAAAAAACTCCCAAATCTGAAACACTTCTGGTCCCAAACATTTTGGATAACGCATATTCAACCTATACTTAGCATTTTTTGTAAATATTTAAAATAAAATGCACAACCTGAGGAAGAGGGGAAGACAAGGAAACTAACAGTGTTGGTTTCTTACTCTGGGCACCACATATTATGTGCATTAATTAATTTAATGCACACCATTTCATGGGAGACAAAACAGGTACAGAGAGGCCGAATTATTGCTTGCACCACACAGCAAGCAGCGAAGCAGGGATTCAGACCTATTCACGTTAACCCCAAAATCCATGCTGTTCCTTTTAGCTTGTTACATCCTAGGAGGATGACAGAATGATCCCCTATTTAGTCACGAAATTCAAAGGTAATATTCTTCCAATACTAAATGCATTTGTTAGGATTGGGTTAAGCTGCCTATGCTGGAAAATGGGAACTAGCAGTGGTTTAAGTGAAGTGGAAGCTTATTTCTCTCACACTTCAAAGGAGTCCAGAGGAAGGCCATCCAGGACTAGCACGGAAGCTCCTTGGCAATCAGGGATCTGGGCTCCTTGTATCTTTCCGTTCCAGCATTCTTGCACAATGACTTCCGTCCTCAAGGTAACCTCACATCCAAGATGGCTGCTGGAGGGCTGGCTCTCTCGGACACTTTCCAGGCAGCTGACAAGGGGAAAAATTCTCCTCCCAGACAAGTTAGCTTCCTTTAGAAACCTCCAGGAAGTCCTACACTCTTCTGCATATACAGTCAGCCCTCCATATTCATGATTCTGCATCCAAATTCAACCAACTCCAGATCAAAAATATTAAGAAAAAGAAAATGACAATACAACAACTTAAGAATATAAATATTACAGTATAATAACTACATGGCATTTATATTGTATTAACTATCATAAGTAATCTAGAGAAGGCTTAAAGTTTACAGGAGGACATAAAGCTTATATGCAAATACTACATCATTTTATATAAGGGACTTAAGCATCCATGGATTTTGGTATCTTTCAGGGACCTGGAACCAATCCCCTGCATACCCCAGGAGGACTGTATTCCATTTGCAAGAATTTAGTCACATGGTCAAACCAGCTGCAAAGGAGTCTTGGAAATGTAGTCCACTTAACTGGGCACCATTATGGTTCTAAATAAAATCAAAGATCTGTTGGTAAAAAGAGAGTGACAATAGTTATTGATTGGCAAACAGCAGCCCCTTACACAGTTAAACCACCAATGAGCTGAGTCTTAGCCCCAGGGCAGATGGAAGCTCACTAGACAGCAATACCAAGCAGATTGTGTGTGTCCCGTGTCTCTGCGACTAGCTGGTGTGATTGGCACCTCACAGGCAGCACGGATGATTTTGTCTCACCAAAAAACAAAACATGCTACCATGAAGAAAAGGGGGGTTCATACCTTTAATCCCCCTATTTGGGAGACCCAGGAGGGAGGATCACTTGAGGCCAAGAGTTTGAGGCTGCAGTGGGTCAATATTGTTCCACTGCACTCCAGCCTGGGAAACAGGGAGACTGCCTCAAAAAAAAACAAGTTTGGGGGAAGGTTAGTAGTGCCTTCAGTTTAACAAGGGAGCAACC